CTAGTCATTATACTTGTCTTATTAATGTTTTTATAAAAAATGCTATTTTGATGGTCGAGCGTTTAATATGATTTCAAAGACATATAATTTTTTATTAATTAAATAGAAAATAATTATAGAAGAAGATGATTAAATAAGAAGCTTTTTTTGTAAGAATCTTGTTTGTAAATGGCTTCTACAGAGTTTCTGAGATACTGATTAGAAGAACCATTTTTCTTAAACGTTAGCGTCATTTCGGTATCAGTTGTCGTCGTTAAACAACGCCACTTTTGGCAGTCAGCGTTGAACATAAAAGTTTACAGTTTTTGTTTTGTGTTTTATAGTATCACCCAAATGTTGCCTCCCATTTATTTACAATAAAAAATATCCTTCTCAAATTTTTAATCTGAAATAAACTTATTACTCTAGTTCTGTTGTCATTAATTGTGAGTAGCGTCTGTTTTTTGCGGTTTTGATGAAGTGAACAATTATACTTTTATGTAACATTACTGATTAGTAGTTTAACTGTCATAAACTGTTTATTCGTTTAGAAAAAGTGTCGTAAACAAAGGTTATTTCGAGGACGATCAAACACATCTAGACTACCGTACAGAAGTTTTTGAGTAGTAAACTGAGATATCTTGGAAAGATGCGTTTTAAATATGCTTCTTCTATGCTGGAAACAGAACTGTATCAGGCTTTCTTTATTTTTCTAGGTGAAAATGGTGACATTAGAGCGGTCTAAATCTGTACCTATTCCTATTCATAGGTCAGCAAGTCACACACCAAGTATGATGGTTAATGCTAAAAAATTCCTATCCGACAGGCCACAATTACTAGACTGCCCACGTTGCAAGGTTTAAGCCTTGAATTCTTCTTTTTTACTGAATTTGTAGATTTGTTTGTTACATCCAAAGCATAACAGTTGGGAAAAAATAAGAAAGATCAGAAAAAATAAATAAATCATTTTTGTTAACGCGAATGCTTAACAAATTTATATTCACACTATTAAACTTTCAACTTTTTTTTTGTTTTATTTTATTTTAGGTCTAACACCTAACCCGACTAAACAAATGTGCTTTAGAAACAATCTTCTAACTTCTGAACAACAGATAAATTGTTGTTACTGATAATCACCAATAGACGCTAACCGGCAATTCCAAAATTATTTATTTTTATTATCATTTGAATTAGTGCAAAAAAATGAGAAAAATGAGGGGAAAAAGCAATAAAAAAAAATTTGCTTATAGGATGGGTAGGAAGAATATCAAAAAACAGCTGGACTAGAATTATAATTATTAAATTGTGTTGGTTTTAAAAATGTGTCAACTGAGAGGAACAAAAACTATTTTTTTTTT